ATGTACATGTAGAGAGCACAGTAATTATGCCCTACACTATGGTGTTGCCTCCTACAGACGAGTGTCAAGTCTTTCCCTTTATTTCATCTCGGAGGTGATGTTCATGTTAGTCAACTGTTGAAGAGTCACAGATGCAGTGAGTATCCACTGCATTAGGGGCCACACTACCCAGCTGTATTACCAATGTACCGGTAGACTGGTTAGATACCAAAACCACAAGCTGGCTACACCCCTGACTCCAAAGTCTCCTCTCCCTACCAGAGACCGTCTTGGTTCTCTTCTCTGCAAGGAAGGTAAAGAGCCACTGAAGAGTAACCTCCCTCCCTCAGCCCCCAATTTCCACTACAGTGTCTGGAGTATCTCATGGTGAGCCACATCAGTGCCTGCCAATAGATTACAAGAATACCTGATCATCAGCTCATAACTAGTTCAATACAACATTGATTTATTTTTAATGATCTAAGCAATGGTTTATTTCAGTTTTGAAAATACCGATCTGAGTTCACTGTTGTCATTGTACAGTATAACTATAGCTGGCATCTCTAGAAAATACATTCTAGTTAACAGTCCTGAATCATCTGGGAAATGGTCTGGATGATCTAACAAGTCTTCCCAATCTCTTAACTTCCACAAATTAACCTAGAGCCCAGACTTGCAGGCAGAGCTTTAAGTATGCAGAGACTGCAGGACTAGGCCTTAGAGGAATCAATCCATAGCACCTTTCATCCAAAACCAGTGTTTTACACTGAGGTGGGGAAAGGAAAGCAAGAGAGTTAATTTTCCTGAAATATGCCCTTATATGAATACTCCCTACCCCGTTCAAGATCTAATTCAATGGGATTAAAGACATTCACTTGTGTAGAACAAAAGCTGATCCCATTCATGAGGAAGAAAAAATAATACTAAACGTGTAGAAAAATCTCCCACTTCTTAGTATTCTCTCTTTCCATTATAAAAATTGTTTAGAGCCAGCACCTAAGACACAATAAGAAAATATAACTGCATTAGGAAATAGATTCCTTTGCTACAGTTTCAATGTTATCTTTCTAGCACCTAGAAAATATATTTAATTTTCATAGCACAATTCTTCTGAAAGTCTGGGAATGAATAGTTAAGGAACACAGCACTTCAATCTTGCTCATATTTCTTTTTCATTTATGATAACCCCCTGCAAGTTACAGCTCTCCACACAAACTAAACTACACACACACACATCCCTTATTTCCATAAATGGACATAAAATTAAGAAGAATATATTACAGGGAGACTGTTACATTGCATTTCCATATCATGGAGCCTGTTTCTGAATGTTTCTTGACCACAGTTCAGGATCTGGGCCAACAGATTTGTTACTTGAGTGAGGAATTTGGGAGTCTTCTTAGACCATTACCAGTGAAAATGGCTGGGGTTTTTTTTCTGTCTGTACCTGGCTAGAAGATTGGAACTGTTTCATTCAGCTGTGACCCTCCTCTCCATAACCCACATCTTTAATACATCTAGACTGGCTAGTGGCAATGTGCTGTACTAGACTAATCTTGCATTCATTTAGCAGTTGAAGCAAGTTCACTTGTTAAGTGAGCATATGACACTGACGCATTTTCTTCTGCAGTGGATGTTGGTTGGCTTCTAGATGGAGTTTCACATAGATTTTTAATTTATAAAGCCATAAATAGTGTGGGGCATGACTATCTGAGGCCTTATCGACACACACACTTGAACTGGTTTAATTAAATCTATTTAAAATCACACTGTAGTTAGACGGTGCAAGTTTGTGGTTAGCCAGTTTCTCAGGTCTGTGCTTTCTGTTTCTGGGCTACAAGTACATTGAGGAGCTTGAGCTGAAAGGCACCTTAAATTTGGAATACACTCCCTCCATTGGTCTGATATAACCTGAGTCTGCTGATGTTCAAGGAACACAGCAAAGGGCAACATTCTGGGAAGAGCTAAAGTGTGTGAGATGGAGGGAGCTGGGGGTGGATAGAGAATAGAAGGATGTGAAGTTGGGTTATGTTTCCTGCAGAAGGGCTTGGTTTGTTGGGAGCTGTTGCTATTTCTCTATTGTTTTATTATAATGGATTGTATTTTGCATGTCATCAAGGCACCTAGAAACTACTATTGT